TGTAAAATTTAAATAGAAACGGCTGCGCGATATAAAATATTCTCATCTTTAAACCCTTTTTTTCTCTAAGAAATTTCAGAAATCCTGAAAAACCTAGTCATAATAATGTCCTCTTCATATTTACTTTCTCACCCTTCATATTGATTAAACACACTGAATTACAATATTCGCTTCTTCCGCCACTATTTTTTTCTAGTATGTTAATAATTTGAATTCCAGACAGCTAACTCCGCCCCCGCTGGTACAGTACTTTTTTTCGCTTCGATTTGTTGTCTCGCAAGACGATGATCCTTTAATAGAGCTACATTTTTTTGATCTAACAGCTAGAAAAAGAAGTCAATAAATGCAGAAAAATGTCCAATTAGTCGCTGACCGTTGAACTAAACTCGTGTCAAGAACCGCGAACGCACACGCTACGCCCCCCTTCTCCGGCTCCATCGCCTTTTTAAGTCGGGCTGGATTGACTAACCTCTTTTTTTCTGAACTTTTTTTCCAGAGAAAATTTTTCTTTGAAAATAAGGAGGGTTGAAGTTGAACGAAAGAAACCAACAAATCATACATTTCTCTCAAAATTTGCAAATTTTTTTAAGTTTTTCCATGAAGTTTTTCGCGTTTCGTCATCATGATCATTTCGAGTTTTTTTGACCTCATTCAAAACCAAATAAACTTTATAGAAGAAATTTTTCAAAAATTTTTAGTTTTTTTCTTTTTCAGTTTTTCCACAAATTATTTACAAAAACCAACCGGTAACGAATCCGCATAATTGAAGGCCCTCGGGATCGCCGAAAAAACGTCAGAAAAAGACATAATCTCGTTTTCGAGGTCCTTTGTGGATTTGTAACCGGAAGAGGTGGATTTTTCCGTCTCCGAGGTCAAGTCAGCCTCATTTTTCTGAAGGAAAACAGTCATTTTCAATCACTGGATGATATTTTCTTACTTTTTCGACAATTTCAATCTTCTCATGTTCATCCGCCATCAATTTCCCAGTCATAATGTTGTAGCTGACGCCTTTCGTGATCCTGAATTGAACTTAGTATTTTTAAACTGAAGTAGAAGATTTCAAAAATAACGATAAAAGTCAAAGTCAAAGACAAAGTAAAAAAACAAAAAAATATCAAGACTTCACTTGAAAAAAAATTGAGAAAATATTTTTTGAAGAAATTTTTTTGAAACTTTCTCGCGGAAATATTTAAAACAAACAATTTTTTTCTGAAAAAAATTTTTCGTTTCATTAAAATTTAATCTAAAGAATTGATAATAAATGACTCGAGAAAATCTACTGCGAAATAAATAGAAAAGTCACCAACAACGAAAGACAAAATTTCTTTTCTCGGATTTTGTGCTGATAAACGGATGGTCACTATGAGATCAAAACAGAAAATCTCAATTTTTGCTTTGCATAAAAACCTTCTCAAAACTACTGGTCAGGTTGGAGAATCAAATTTATGAAGCAGTTTAATCTGAAAGCTCATAATAAAATTCATAATAAAACTCAAAATGAAACCCGAAAATAAACCTAAAATAAAATGCATTCAGCCCAATGTATAAAAATCGGAAAACTCGGAGGTCCAAAAGATAAAATATAGTTCTAAATTAGTCTCAAATTAACGTTTCACTCTTTCAACATACCTTTTCAGAATTTAAAAACCAATTAAAATTGAAATTTGACATTTTTATATTGTAGGATTCTCTCATTCTACTCAACAAGATTTGCTTTTTAATGCAAAGTTTCTTGAGACTAATGTTAATTTTACATTGCAACCAAGATTTTCTCGGAATTTGTCAATTTTCGAACCTCCCAGTTCGGAAATAATCTTCCTTCTGCCAACGCCTCGTCGTCCTCTCTCGCTAATGGGCAAAAGAAAGTCGAGACCGAGGGTCATGTGCAAGAAAAATGTCTGAGTATTTCGTTTACTTTGATTTGTTTTTCTCTGGAGAATAAATACGGGACTAGGGCGAGAGCATAGAAAGGTCGAAAGACGGTGAAAGGAGATTTAAGGGAAGGTCGATCGTCAGATGAGACTGAAAAAGGAAAATCTGAAGCTTTTTCCCAAAGTAATTTCCGTGAAAAATCGAGAGTGTTTCTCTGACCCTGTCAAAAATTAGTTATCTTTTTCGCACTCGTTCACGGAAAACTTTTGAACACTGAATGGGCTGTCTTTCAGTGAGGAAAAAGTCGATTATTTTCAACTTTCCATCCCATGGGAATTAATAAAAAGCTGAGTTGAAATGAGAAGATTCAACGAAAAGTCCAGGTGAATTTTGCAATAATCAGGAGTCATCCTGAGCGATATGGAAATCGACCTCGCCATCAATTCTTGGATATTTTCGACTTTTCGATGTATTATGGAGTTCATGAGGAGATTCCAGATAAGGGACAAAGCAACATTCAATATAAAAAGTGAGACTGAAGTCTATTTCGAGTTTTCAGGAAAATACGCGGACACAGCATCAATTTCATTTTAAAATCTCCCGATTTTATAATTTAAAGATCTTTTCTGCAATATCAAAATCTGTACTAGTTTCAAGAAATACTTCAGGAGATTTTCTGACTTATTTGAGGAAAACTTTTCACGATTTTTCTCAGCTTTTCTGATAGATTTTCATTAGAAAAATTACTTCTAAACGCAATTTCTCTCAATTTTTCCGACTCGTTTTTCATAATGTAAAATCGACCCACAAGATCTTTAATTTCTCTTTGAAATTTCAAACTAACTCATCAGATATCTTATTTCCAAAACTAATTAGTATTTTTAATTCTTGAAGATTCAAACAACCAATATCAAATTCGAAAAATTCTAAAACCTCAACGGAGATCTGAAAGAATTCCGTGTCGTTCCAGAATCCGTGAGTTCATCTTCAGCTTTTGCGGTTTCTTCCGTCTTACTATCTGTTCATTTTGACATTTTTCAATCCAAAAATATTCAAAACCGTCAAAATCGGCTTCGATATCGATTCGATCAATACGGAGATCTGAATCATCCAACTTTGAAAATAAAATAACCACCATCATCATCGCTTCCCTGAGAAAAACCGATGTCCGTTTCCGTAGTCCTCGTCGTTCAACAACTCCGGATCCATCCTGAACAATTTAGGAAAACGGGAAATTTCGCAAACCAATAATACTAGCATCAAACACCTTCCGCATTTCACATCCTATCCAGATAATGTTTATCGTCAAAGAACAACGGATAAAGAGAAAAAGTGAAAGAATCATATCTTGTGACCTGGACATATCGCCCTCGAAACAAGCAGAATACGGCAAAAACATATCGTTGATGGGAGACAAAATACGGGGAATGGGAGATTCAATAAGGGATGAGATACAATAATGAGATGTCTTCAATTTCGGCAAGGAATCGGATACCAGTCGGAAAACAAGGCAAGGGTGTATTGGACTGTGTTGGAGAGAGAGTGGGTGAATTGAGGAGAGCTGAGAAAGTTCCGGAAACCTGAATTTATAAAGTGCAGACACAAAAAGGCCTTTTCCTTTGATATTTTCCAGGATGAATTCCATTTTTCCTCACTCATTAGAAATCGAGACCAAAGTTCCAAAAGCTCTTCTTCTGCGTTAAAAATGCAGAAAAACTTAAATCAGAAAGAGTACTTTGAAGGGCAAAAACTCGTAGGCAACCAAAAATAACCCTTCCTAAAAGCCCAGACTCAAACTGTTCAAAAGATAAATAATGCTTGGTATCAAACTCTCTAATGTAGCCTCCAATTACTTTTCTAGAGCTCAAAAATCATCAAATTGAATTATTCACAAAAAGAATTGTAATAAGCATTTAGATCAAAAATTCGAGACCTCATTTTATACTCCTACCACAACAGGGGCAAGGTGAAAATCCTACTGGCTTTTTCAGAAAGTTGTCGGATTTAACGACCAAAGTGTACAGCAAAATAAAACCATAATCACAGACTTTTAGTAGAACCTTAGGAACTAGGCAGACAGCAGATCAACTCCTCGCTCAACTCTCTCAGCCAATACAGTGCGGAATTTCATCAAGGACAGGAATGTGCACGGATATGTTCAGAGACGCGACGGGCAGAGGCCTGCGCTGCTGCTGGACGGCCTGCAGCGACAGAAAACCATCGGCAGGAGCCTGGACGGTCGGCGATGCGAGTCCCGTTCGCGAAGAAGCTTTCGCGAGGGAGCGACGGCTTGCCGCGACCGCCGATCACGCCGATCGCCTCTGGGCGCCGCCGAGAAGCTGCGAATGGCTGGAGAGGGCGCCGCGCGCGACTTGACGGCTTCTGCTGGTTCGTGAGGTCCATCTGCTCCAGCTCTCGTATGATCACCTTCGCCTCGGCGCGCGTCATCTGGAGAAAATTCGCAACTTGCTCCTTTATTTCTAGGCTTTAGGCTGATCTTTTATAAAATGCAAGTGTTCGGATTACCTTGAGGATCTCTATTTCATTCTCTAGGATCCGAAAAAGGACTATAGTCGATTAATGAAGCTAGCATGGGCTTGTCTGCGCTCTCCACAAAACCATGCACTATTTCCCGTTTCCCCATCGGTGTCGGGACGCTTTTCAGGTGGCTCCATGCCACCCATCAGCAATATAATTTATGGAAGTTGGATATCTGTTTTAAAGTAGAAAACACGTTTTATATTTTGTTTAATCAGGTTTTTGATCCCAGCAACACTGCTCAGTCACTTTTTCACATACGGGCCAAGTCTAAAAATATGTGAGAAATGTTCAAATAACTTAGAAAACTGCAAAAATTCAAAAGAACACACTGGAAGTAATAGACAAAGCCGATGGGTCACACTGCTCACAAAAATACCAAAGCCTGCATGGAAACCAAGAAACAAGGAAAAGCTCACAATTTTGAACTTGACGGGATCGAGAAACGTCGTAGATACCGAACTCCGGAACGTGTCCGTCACCTGAGTGGAGCATCGACAGCGACGTGTGCTTCTGGCCAATGGCTCCTGAGATAGCTTCATTAAATTCGTGAAATGCGAGCTTATCTCAACACTAGAAGTCAAATTCATTCAGAAAATTATGACAAGAACTTTTAGGAAAAATTAACCTCGTGGTTTGATGGGAACTTCTTTTTCGAGGCTAAGGTATGATTTTTCAGAGCTGCTCTTCAAAACGCTGCAGAAAATTGAACAACTTTTGTTTCCATTGAGTCAAAAGTTTAAAAGTAAAGAAGACAATCTTAAAATATTAGCCAAAGTAGTAAACTGAGCTTCTCGAGAAGAGTATGAAACAAAGAAACTTAATACATCGGCTGGATACCACCTCAGCCTGCGCTCGATTTGAAAATATACTGAAGTAGGCCGCTCTTTTTCGTGAGGCCGCATGAGGATAGGCCGCAGTTTGAGGGGTAGGGGCCGCAACCCGGAAGAATCCAGCTGACGTATGAACAAAAATCTCACCACCCTCTTTGAAACTATCTTCTAACCACTTTTTCACTACGGCGAGCTTCTCAGGTAAAAGTTGGGTAGTTTCTGCTTTTCAGGTCTCCTTTCTTCCAGCAGGTCCTTTCACATAGCTTTCTCAAAAGTTTGAACTTGAAAAATAGCCTTGCAGTGCAGAAGCATTTCTCCCAGCAGGTTTTTCTGGGCATTTTCCATTTTCCCCTTCCTTGAAAGGCTAGCTTTTCAGGACCTTCTAGCTTCGTTCAACTTCCAATTTCCTGCTGGTTGGCCACGATAACCGACCTTTGAAGAATTTCCCTCAGTTTTGAGACTCAGATTTGGAATCAGCTTGAAAAACTACATCTAGTGAACTTATCTCATTCAGAAGCCCATTCCTAGTCAAACGACCGATCCAACGAACCGCCATACATGTCGTCATGAGACGTCCGCCGCCGACCTTGCGATCGGAATGATGTCTGCGGAGCCAGAACTTCTCGCGAACGTTATATCGCCAGTTGCGACAGTACAGTTCATGGGCACGCTTTTCCCTGCCAAAGCTCGCGCGCGTACTTTGTAGAACATGTAGAGAGGAGCTCCTGAGCGCCAATCTGTCAAATAATGATAAGGACTTCTCCGATGATATCTACCTTTTGAATCATGTTGTCAGAAACTTTTGAGGCTCTATATGTCGGACTCAGATAATACTCCGGCAGGAACTCCTGAATTGGATTTACGAGATCGAAAATGACTGAAATGATGAGCTGGAGAAGGATGTTTTCTACCATTTTTCCAGATATTTACCAATCTTTACCAAGAAATTGATCTAAGTTACGTAAAATTAAGGAAGAACCCTATAACTTGCTAATAAAACCTCTAAATGACAGATAACCACATTTAACTTTCTTTCTCACTTTTTAAGCCAAAGAAAATGCAGAAAATCTTGAATTTTAGGATCTGAGATATTCTTATCTTCCTAAAACCAACACTTTCCCCATCAAAACCTAGACTAAAAAACAAATTTTCCTGAACCTCGGCTTCGTAATTTCAATCGCAGAGGCGGATTTGCACGGAAAGAGGCCGGCGAAGGTCTTCCAGACCGGCGCCCTGGAAACTATATCCGAGATCATCTACAGCTGTTCAGTCTCTCTTACTCAGGCTCCATCTCAGGGGTACTTGGACGACATCTCGGATGCCGTTGACCATCAAAAGCTCAGCGAGGTCGCCCATCTCGAGGAAGGCTCAGGCGTCGTCTTGCTCATGTCCCCGTAGTCCGTGTCCGTTGCGAACGACAATAACGGGTTGTTGCTCAGCAGGAAATGGCGCAGACGGGAGACAGCGCCACCAGTCCGAACTGATCCGTCAGCATCGATCCCGGAATGTTCACGATCTCGCCTTAATACCGAAATTTCAAAGAGACTGTTTCAGGTTTAGTTAAAAATATTTTCACAGCAAAAACTTTTTCTCTATTTTCGTCAGGCTAACCAGAGCTGCGGATGAGACAGGTCGTCTCGAGGTGAACACGCAACGCGCAGCGACTTGTGAAGTCGGTCACACATTGTCAAAAGAGCCTTTTTCTTTCTACATTTTTCCCTTTTCAACTTTGCGGGTCTGGTCATCCCGTCGGCAACTAAAGATGGCTTTTCATCAGTCAAACAATATATTTTCCTGACAGTTCAAACCATATCTATTCAAAAAGCTTCTATGTCTGCCGAATCAATTTTTAACCGAATCCGTTTTGAAATTTTGCAACTTTCACTACTTGTTACATGTCACTGTTCTTCTTTTTCATAAAATATATGAAAAATGGTTTTTCAAAAAGAATTATTCCAAACAAAATTGCTAAAAAATCTCTCTCTAAAAACTAGAACTAGATTCCCAAAAACTTATTTCCTTCTCTTCCATGGAAGCCAACCAGATTTTGAGTAAACATTACCCTTCATATGTCTATAGAGTCTATTAAAAATATGTCATCATTCTATTATATTAGTAATTTTTCAATTTGCCGAGAAACCGACATTCTTCTATCCCTCATTTCAAAAATTTTTGGAGAGCCAGGAAAAAGCCAAAAATTATGACCCAAGAAAGTGCAAAAACAAAAGCGTGACCTAATTCCGACATTTTCGCAGTCGCTCTGCGTATGAATCATCTGCCAATTCATTGTTATTTTGGGAAGTATTCGAAAAGTTGAACGAAAAATGTCGCCAACACTGCTTTTTGTGAGGGCGAGGAAAAAAATAGTAAAGGACAATGTTTTATGTCGATAGTGTCTGGAAAAATAGTGGTTCCGAGAAAATAGAAATTTTAGTCAACGAGTGAAAAATATAACGAAGATTTTGTAAAGTTAACGATCAAATTCAACAAGGAGTTCAGGGATGAATATTCAAATTTTTGCGGAATGCGGAAAGCAGTGAAAGTTTCCACAGTACAAAAAGTAAACACAATTTTTCAGTTTTAACAGTGAAATTTATGTATTTTTTTCGCTTAAGACGGTATTTTTCCGACAGCTAGCGGCTAAAAAGTTGATTTCAGTGTGTTTTTCACAAGTTTTTAAAAATGTTTTTAAGAAATCAAAAATCTCGCATTTGTTGCGCATGTCTGCCCATCTCTGTTGGAGCTTAATATTGAATTTCTTTGAAGCATAAACCATCTTGAAAATACAAACCATTGGGCAAGCACTCAATCTGGGGGACTTGTTGCAATTCGGGAACCACGGGAACCTTGACGTCCATCAGCGGGGCGGGAGCTGGAGGAGGTTCAGACTTGGGCTCGTGTCGCCTCTCCGGCGTCTGCTGGGCCTTTTCCTTGTTCTCGCGATTCTTGCGATGACTTCCGCCTCGGAGTTCTGGCTGACGGACGCCGGCTCGCGACGCCGTCAGCTTCAAGAACGGCGGCGACGCCGTCGACTTTTCCGACGCCGCGGCGGCTGGAGACGTGGTGCTCGACGAGGACGTCGTCGTGTCGTTGCGGGGAGGCGTCGTCGTCGCGCTGCTGCTGCTCGAGATGCCGCCGGCGACCACGCCAGAGTCCGAACTCAGCATCGAGGTTGTAGATGTCGTGTCCACCTGGAAATCGGTCGAATCTTCGAAATACGAACAGAAAAAGAAGTATGTAAAATAAATTATTGCCTATTTATTTTGAAAATGACTGTTTTTTTTCAATTGCATACTTTTTTCTATGATTTTTCAACTCGCAAAAAGGCTTATTTTTGGTCATTTCCTCACAAGGAAGGTAATTTTACTTTGCGGTTGGAATTCTTCTGAATATTGACCATGACACTCCTTGATAAACCGGAAGCATAATCTGAAAATCTCAACCTACAAAACCTCCTAGTTTTCGAGAAATAAGGACTCACAGTCAAAAAAAACCTCGAAATCCATCAAAATAAGTCATTTTGGGACTTTGGAATTTCTTCAGAATTAAAAAAACTTGTAAAGGTTTAGACTTCCAGGAACTTCATCTGGCACATCAAGGATTGGTCTGGCGCAATTTCAAGAAAACAACTACCGCAAAATAAAATCACTTCTCTGTCAGACAAAAGTGTTCTGAGAAGATAAAAATAAGATTCGTATTTGGAATCTGTGACCTTCATGATTTAAAGCTACCACCAGAGAAAAAGCTAAAAATAGAAAAGATCGTAAAAACAAAGATGACTAATATCCAAAGATCCTCGCACAACAAAGAAACAAGCTCATTCAATCAAAGAAACATACTAAAAAAATAGAAGTTTTCGGCTTGTCTTTTTCATGCCGTCATTCGATTCTGAAATTTTCTTTTCGAATATAATCTGAACCTTCGAAAAAAAGTTGTCTAAAAAAATTCGAAATTATATTTGTTTTGAAGAAAAATTTTTCAAATGTGTCATAAAAAAATAAGCTAGGTGAGTTAAGCTGAAAATTCGAAAAATAAAAATCGATCATGTTTTTCTGCTTAAATATTTAGCGTAATTGAACCTGTTTAAGGCGACCAGTCGTATTACGGTAGTTTAGATAAGTTTCTCGGAAATAAAAATAAAAAAATGAGTGTACTTTTTGGGACTTAACTTATCTCGTAACCTCAAGTAACAGGTCCTTAACGAATTGCAAGAAAGAAAAAAGGTAAAAATTGACGGCGCATTATTGACCGACCGCCGTAGCACTGCCTTTAATAAGCGTGGTAAACTGACAGAAAAATAACACGGCACACAAATAATAAAACTAGAATATTGGGAAGAAACAAGGGAACGAACAGGGAAATGTACTCGAAGACGGCTTGTATCGGCCCTTTTCATGAACGCGGGGCGAGTTGCAGTAGGAATGTTTGCAAGGAATGAATGACGAGAGAGAGAAAAATGAAAATAAAATAAATCACGTTTAAAATTGATCGGATAAGGGAAACGTCGGAGGGCACGCCACGCGTCTTCTCATTGCTGAGCTGTTTGCGGGCGCCGGGCAGCTCCGGGAAGTCTTCGTCGGCTATGGTGAAGCCGTCCTGTCGGCCGAACCGACTGCTTCTGTCCGAACGACGTCCGCCGCCTGAAACGCTGACCTCGGCCATCGGCGACAGTGTAATGCGCCAATATGAGTCATACAGTCTGTTCGGATTTTGAATGTCAAGTCGTCGCTCAAACTCCGCCCCTAATGGCGCGATAAACCATTCAGAAAGCGAGCCTTCCACGAGGCATTTTTGAATGACGTCATTGGACTTGACATTCAAGATCTGAACAGACTATTGAGCTTTTTCTGCATCCAAATTAATTGTGACGTTCAAAGCTACGTTGAGAAAGGAAACGCTGCGAAATAAATATCAGAAGCCACAAAAGAATTTTTAGCAGCCCCTAAAAGAATCTTTGAATCTGAGCTTCGAACGCGAAATAGCTCTAAAAATTGAAAAATGTGTTCAGAGCTCTCATGGTAATGTCATCAAAGTTGCCGAGAATGTTGAGTTTCAAGAATAATTTTTGATAATGAAAAGCCAGATCCAAGTTTCCTGTACGCAGAAATTACCTCGAGCAAAAATCTGACGCCTTTTGAAGTTTCGAATTTATTCGAATCATAATTTTCAAAGATATTGAAAAAGGAGAAAAAGTAAGAAAAGCTTTTTAAAAGTTTTCCTTCCACTAAACTTTTTGCCAAATCTCAAACTTTCAAAAGGCGCAATAAAACTGACTATCCAACAACAAACCCTTGTCTCAAGAACCTTTAAGTCAATTCTCGCTAAAAAAAAAATTACCACGCAAGTTCAAATCCGAAATAAACGAAAAAAAAAGAAAATCCTAAAAAATTTTCGAACAAACCACTTGATCTGTTGGCCTTTGGCGTTTCGCTTTTTTGAGCGGGTTGTTCACGGGGACTTATGGACTGCGCCGATTCTGATTGTGTCAACCGGGTACGGTCTCTTCGTCGACGGCCCATAACAGTCACCGCCAGGCCGTTTGCAACTTTTCCAAAATTTTGAGATTTCTGCGCCTTTTTCTTTTGAGAATTTCTGGAAAATTTGACGATTTCATTAACTATTTTCCACGAGTACACATTTGAACTCACAGAAGAACAGATTAAAAGCAAAAACGAACACAATATGTGAGAAAAAACGCCAAAAACTTTTGTAATTTTTTTCCTGTTTTTTTATTGCGCGTAAACGTGTTGCGGACTAGCAGATTTGTCAAGTATCGTACTTTTTTTGAAAAAAATACTATTTTTTTAATTCTTTCAAACAGTTTCTATCCCAGCTTGTTTTGTATGAATTCTTGTTCAGAAATTGGTGATAACTCAGATATGCGTATTTTTCCTTTCGAAATCGAGATTTATCATAATATGACCAACAATTTAAGATCTTCATAATTTGCCTCTTTCTTTTGTTTTTTGCCATCCGAAATTCATTCGCAAACCGTTTATTTCAATTTTCTTTGCAATACATTCTGAGAATACTGAAGAGAGCCGTTTCTACATACATTTGATAATGAAGTTAGATTCACCAGCAGCTTGCTGGTTCACTGAAAAATCTTTTAAAACCCAACAAGCTCTTGGCAAATCAACATTACGTTATGAAGGCACATAGCTATTATTATATTTCTGGAATGTAACATTTTGTGATTTTAAGTAGAGAAGATCATGATTACCCGCTAACGAGATTTTAGAGATCGAGAACAAGAGTCATTTTTTGTGTGTCGCACGGGGATTCGAATATATTCTTTGAAGGCACATTTGGGGCATTAAATTCAGCGAATTGTTTTAGAATCCGACGTATCGTTTGCTTTTTTTCTTGGCGCTGCCGGCACTTCCAGGCAGGACGTGTTCCTCTTCGTCGTAGGACCCGTTCCAGCCGCCAGTCGACTCGGCGAACTTGTCGATGATCATCGAGATCGGGAAGGCCAGTACAATGATGCCGCAGACTGATGCCAGTGCTGCCACGACTTTTCCGCCTGGGAAAAAGGTTGTTAGTGTTTTGAGGCGTGGGCCCGAGCCAAAAACAAAAATTTGTTGTTTCTTCTCGAGACTATTTTTTTTCAAATATGTATTCAATTCCGATAATGATTTTTCTTTCTCTTCATTTGTTTTCCTTTTTTAATATTTCCAAAAATATACCTGCAGTAACCGGGACCAAGTCGCCATAACCGACAGTTGTCATTGTGATGACGCCTGAAACATTTTCTTAGCTTTTTTGTGAGTTCGATTAAAAAATGAAAAATGAAACTTACACCACCAACAAGCCGCCGGAATCGAGTAGAACTTCGAGTTTGGCTCGTCCCTTTCGAAAAAATAGATGGCGGTGGAGAAAAGCATGATTCCTGGAATTTTAAAGTTGAAAAATCAGATATAAAATCTTGAAAAAAAGCTCTTCTATCGAAAAGTTCCGTTGTTGAAATTTTTTCCGACTATCAGGAATTTTTAAGATTCGTCCAAAAGTTTCTTAGAAAATGCGAAATTTCGACCTCGGTTAGGCGAAGCGGACGTGCTCCGAATGCTTTTGAGCAACTCTAGGAATCACTTAAGAGCGCGGACACTACTAAATTGGTCACTAGAAATGCTCAGAAACTTCGGTAACGCAAACCGGACGCGCCTTGAACGCTTCTGAGCAGTTTTAGGATCCCTTAAAAGTGCTAAAACTACTAAAGTGGTCACTAGAAATGCTCCGACATGTCCGGGCGCGTCCGGTTTGCATTACCAAGGTCCGAGCTCGCCTCAGAACTCTTAAGTGATCCCTAGAATCGCCCAGAAACGTCCGGAGCACATCTGTTTCGCGTTACCAATTTCCGAGAGCAGATCCGCTTCGAAAAAAGATTCTCATTGGAGCGAAAATACCGCCATAAAGGCGGCTTATTTTTCATCTTCTGTTTTGCTTTTTCCACTAACCAGTAACGAGGAACATGCCGAGCATGCTCAATTCTGCGGCGCTTTTCTTCATCGTCTCTCCGAATGCCCGCAGTCCGGTACTGTAGCGCGCCAATTTGAAAATCCGAGCTACTCTGGCCAGTCTCATCACTCGAACCACCAACATTGCTCCTATAAATTTTGAATTCAAAATATTTTTTCTTGCTCTCGAACCTCGGAACTCTTTCATCCACTGAAGTTCGTTGAAAGCTTCGATCATGAAAGGAAGAATCGTGAGGAGATCGATAATGTTGAGAGGCGATCGGATAAAGTCGCCCTGAAAAATAGAAGTAGAGGTTTTTTTCTAGTAGAAGTGAATATTTGATGTCTAGACTCTTTAGAGAGCATTTTTTTCTGAAGGCCCTGAAAGTTCAAAAATCTTGAAATATGTAATAAAGTTAGTCTATTTTAAATAGGATTTTCGAAGAAAAATAAAATCAAAATACTTACTTTTCTTGGATTGACAACCAATCGAGCAATGTATTCCAAAGTGAAGTAAACCATGCAACTGAAAAATTATAAGCTAAATTATTATTTAACACACGTTCTTCGAGAGAATCGTTGAAATTCAAAAACAGTGGGCACAAAAAATGCATGTTGCTTTTTTTGAGCTCATATTTCTATCACACCAACTACAAAAGTATACAAAACTTTTAAACAAGGTTTTTTCAAGCTCCGCCCCTTTTGAGGCTTACTGTAGCCGGAAGTCGTGAAAAGTCGCATTTAAAATCTTCTTGTAAAAGTTCAAGTTTCTGTTTTGGAATAAAAAATTCCATGAGTTGATTTTTTGGACTTTATTGACTTTGATGTTTCATTGATTTTTATTAAAAAACCTTCTCGACATTGAAATCATAGTATTCCGTTTGAATTATTCCCATTTAAATTCGATGATCTCACTATAAACGGCTCGCGGCGTTTTTTTTTATGCAGCCGACTCGAAACGGCTTGATTCTTTGAACCATTCGCCATGTGATCATAGAATTTCAAGTCGTGTATCAGATTTAAGAGTCGCCTGAACTTATTCTTCAAGTTCTCCCGAAACCTCACTTTTTTGTTTGTTTTATCAAGGCGATTCATTATTCCTTGACTCTCTTCAAACTTTTTGAAATTTTTTCTCATTTCTTCCAACTCACAGCATCTCGAGCCAGTGCAGGACGTAGTGCGGCTCCTTGTTATGATCTTGAAGCTCAGGCATCGAGCTCAGGATTAAGCCTTAACAGAACAAATTCCATCGCTATTTATAACTATTACCCTCACCTAATAAGGACAAGAGGACGAAAAAGGCCGAGGCGAATGAGAAAACTTTGGCGCCAGTGGAACTTCGAGGGTTTTCCAGCAATCGGTAGAACTAAAATTAGAATAATTCCTTTTTTTTTCGAGATTCTCGAGACTCACCTTTAATCTAGCGGGTCCACACCAAACCTTTTCGAAACATGAAGCGGGAAGGGAGGAATCTGCGTAAGCCTGAACATTTTAAAGTGCCTTTCCACAAGAAAAATGAAAAAACCTTTTCATTCCGAGCTTTTGCTGCAAGATTGTTGTTCTCCTCGAGCATACAACAAGGCGACATGTAGTGGGTTGGGATTCGCCAGAAATCGAGCTCATAACGAAGTCGAATCGGGCAAATGTCCATCGGTCGGTGCAGTTTTCCTGGAATTTCAGCCCTTGTCTTTGAAAAAAGTCAAGAAACGCGTATTAAAGAGATTGTTTAAAAAAAAACGAGGCTGTTTTCAAGAAAAATGGGATTCAAAATATCTTGCGAAAGACCTTATTTTTAGTAGGGACCGCAATTTTCAAAGGTGGCTAAATATTATTCATAACCAAATTTTTTAATTACAGAGTGGAAAAAAATCGAAAAAAATTGAAGTAAAATCAAGAGAAGTCACTGAAACCTGACTGAAATAACTTCCAACAAGAACCTTTATTAAGATCCAAAAATGAATAAAAAGGTTTTTTTAATTCTTTTGGAAGAGCTTTGAAACTTTCGGAGCTGTACCCGTTAAAAAAAGTGAGAGTTTCATTGCGTTTAAATGATTTTTTTAAATTTATTATCACTGTGTAACGTTTTTTTAGGCTTCATTTGAGCTTCTGAAATGTACTTCAAGACCTCCTGAACGAAAGAAAAAAATTTTTCCAGCAACAGATCTTTTTTTCAAAGCTTTGAAGTTGGCGAATCATGTAAAATATGACGAAAAAGCACTACTTCAACTTTCGAAGCTTCTCAACTTGGAAATCAGATCTTTTACAAGATTTTTATCTTGCTCAGCAATCGGGAGGTCCTAAAGTAAACTTCGAAAAAGTTTTTTCAAAAATTTCAGCTGGAAAAACTCCCTAATCAGCCCTTTTAGCTAAAATTTTCTAATCCGAACCTGTGACGTAGTAGTCGACGACGTATTCAAAGATAACGGGCGATCTTTCGAAATAATATTCAGCCGCGGCGTCGAAAAAAGCGTCACACTCGGTGAGCCTTTCGACGTGGGTCTTTTCGCAAAAAAACGGCCAGTTTTGAAGAGGGAAGCCGGCGTGAAACCTGAGAAAATAAGTATTTACGAACCGATTATAACTAAATTTTTGAATGATTTATTTTTAATTAGTTAAAATGGAACAAAAAAACACATGAAAAAGGAGTCTAATGGAGTCTAGAAGACTATTCAAAAACGTCTTTCAAAATTTTAAACATCATAAGATTTGATTCTGATTTATTAATGAATTGAAATTTTTTTGAATTTGCGTACATCATCATTCGAAAATGCTTCAAAAAGCGTCCAAACCTTCCAGAAACCAATCACAAATGCCTTTTTAGTTGTAATTCCCAAAAATCCAAGAACATTTCAAAGCTTTCCCCATGACTCATAAGCTAGCAAAACCGCTCGAGTGAAATCAAAGCTCATTTATTTTTAATATGCATTTCAAACGCTCTTTAATCAATCTTCGAGCCCTGTCCTTTTCAACCAAATAATGAAAAACAACACAGACAGCTCAAAAAGCGACCAACTACTGATAAATTATTAGAAAACAAAAATGTTTAAACATCAAATTTGATACTTTTTGGTGAGATTTGAGATCGTCAAAGAACTATTTTTTGGTTTGAAACGTGCTCCGACTTTCAGTATCCACAATTTATTATAATAGACGATTAAAAACTAGTTTCAAGCTCAAAAAGAACCAGATTTTTCGATTGAAAAGCGACCCGAATTTTTTCGAGAATAAAAATCCAAGTTTTGTGAAGTCTCAAAGATAAAAACTGACCAACTCTGCAGGTAATTTGGCACGTCGACCGCCGACGTTCACGCTTAAAAGTGACGTCTTCGGTTTCTCGTCTGACGTCATCGATGACGCCACGAGTGGCATCGACTCGTACATCGTCGTCGTGGGAATCTTCTTCTGCAATTCGCGGTTCCGTAATTAAATCTACCGAAAAAAAATAAGGGTGATAGACACGAAAAACTGCTCTCGAAAGGGTGTAAAGTGAGTATTTAGGGTCAGGAACGTCTTGGTTATGACCGACCTCCTAGTGACTTGCGCGCCTAGGATCCCGAAACAGATTCGGATTTTGACTCGAGCCGCAGCGCGACCGCGACGCGTTGAGCCATTCCAAGCGCTACCAGTAAATCTTGGTAAAAAGTAGTACAAAAAAATACAGAAGAAAACTGGATATGCTTAAAAAGATAACCTTCATTCAGATGACTTTTTGAAAGTTCTAACAAGATTATATAACTTCAAAAATATACGTTTTGATTAAAACGTCTCAGCCCGTTTCTTGTTCGTCCTTTCTCTCAATTAATCAATTAGATCTGTTTTTAATCACCTCGATAATGCCAGAGATCAAAACAGAATTTTGAAGAGGAAAAATTGTCATTTTTTTTTTTCCTGGGCTTCAAAATGGGATTATATGACCAAATGTGTCTGAAAGCGTCACTGATTCGATTACAAACAGCCGTCAGAACCGCATCAAAGGTTGCTCCACGGAGAATTTTTTGATTCGGAACATCGGAATGGCTTCTGATACGCGAGAGAAAAAAACAACTTGGAGATCGAAAGAATATCATTTTGAAAAGATTTGGGAAGGTACTGGGAAATTTTTAAGTGGTCACTTTAGGGTTTGGACCTTTTAGTGGTCATCATAGTAGTCGAATTAGTAGACCCTTAGGGGCTAAAAATTAGTGGCCACTTTAGGAGTCGCAGGGGCTACTAGACCACTGAAAACTACTTTAGTGGCCACAAAAAACTCTAGAAGGGTTGTTTTAGTGGCCACTTGAGTGTCCTCTTCAATTAGCCTTTGAGTACCTCTTGAGTGACCACTAGAGAATTTTCCAGTAGTCTCTGAAGATATTTTTATAATAAATAGATTACTTAAAAACAACAAAAAAACTGTAAAAATCAACTTAAAAAAACTTGAAAAAAAGGAAAAAAACAGAAAACTTGTCGAATATTATCATTCGAAACCATTCCAAATAATGTTCATTGGATTTTATCCGAAAAAATGAAGAATTTAACGAAAAATAGAGGAAAAATTTATCTTTTCAATCGTGCGACTCTAAAGGATCAGCGAGATTTTTTTCAAAAAAATGGTCTTGGACTGAAAAGAAAAAAACCAAAAAAAGGAAAGGCTCACAATTTTCTAGTCTATATGCTTTGATGACGACCCGAAAGTAAACGGAGTAGTTTTCGCAACGAAGAAAATTTCTTTTCAACAGGAAGATTAATCTATAAAAGCAGGCCAAAATAATCCGTCCATCTACAAATAGGCGATGAATAAAGAGAAAATGAAAAAGGGATAAGAAATCGGGGCAGCAGAAGTTTTTCCCTTTGATGGGAAGCACGTGGCGGAAGAAGTCGCTCTTCTAATCTCCTCGGAGATGAATTCCAAGTGGAGAAGTGGTGAAAAGCGACTAATCAGTGTGATTTTAGACGCCGCCAGTCGTCATGACAATGGCTCCAGCTCCTTTTTCGCTTCTTTTTCCAAATGTATAAGTTTTTCGAATTGGGAAGCGGTGACTAATGAGGTTTTATTAGTTTGGTAAGTTCTGGATGGAAAAAGGAGCTAAAGAGCAGGCAAACTGAGAGTTTAATCGAGAAATAACGGGCTTCTTGAGTCAAAAAGTCAAGAATTAAAAAGAAAAACTATTTTGAAACGAAAAAACATGCTACTTCAGACATTAAAAAAATCATTTTTTTGTGAGTTTTTTTCACTGTAATTTTTATTTTTTTGCGCCAAAAAAATCAAGTTTATACTGTCATATTCATTTTTTTCGAGCACAACAGCTTCGAAAAAAAGGATTATCTGTCCGGGAAAATAGTTACAATACATAAACACATACTTTTACTCAAAAAAAATTTTAAAGATGAAAAAAATCTGAAATACACCTATATTATTTTCACTAGGATTAATACAATATTTTTACAAATATATCGAAATAGAAACGTTTCGAAAGTGAAGAATCAAAAAAACGAGGGAGAACGTCAAAATCAAAAAGTACAAAGTTTAAAATTTAAAAAAATAATTTCAGAACACGAATTTATGACTTTTTCTGCACGAATTCTCATTTTTCTTTCCGAAAAAAACCAAATTTTTCTTTCTTAGAAATAGTTATTTTTTTGTCTTGTTTCGAGTACACCGCTTGACACGCAAGGAAAAGCTCTTAAAAATTGCATTTTTCCCATTTTTATGTTCACGATTTTTGAGTTTTTAAAGAAACATCCAAAAATTTATTCAACATGAAAAAGTTCAAAGTTCAAAAAAATTCGTGAAAAAAATTAAGTGAAGAAGCATAACATCAGCCTTTGTAAAAAGTAAGAAAAAAATCTTTATTTTACTAAAATTTGACAAGAAATAGTTCAAAAAAAGGGAGAGCTTATCAATAATTGAAAAGAAACAAGTTTGACTTTTTAAAAATATTCATATTAATGCAAGGAATGAAAAATTATCTCTCATCACAACTTTCTCCTTTTTATTTATCACGTTCCAAATCATTTAACCGATATAACTACTCAGACCTTGGTAACGCGAACGGGACGCGAATCGGACGTGTCGGGGCATTTCTAGTGACCACTTTAGTAGCCTCAGCACTCTTAAGTGATCCCTAGAATCGCCCAGAAACGTCCGGAGCACGTGTGTTTCGCGTTACCAATGTCCGAGTTTATACAAAAAAACCTTAGAGAAAAAAACTGGATTGAAAATTGTTTCTTTTTCAGTAAACCATTTTTTTATTTCCAGTTTTTTTAAAAAGAATAAAAAGAAAAAAATTCCGCATAAATACAAGGCATTTTTCGGAAACTGGTCACTGAGGAAAAACCGACTAGACGGTTGATCCCAAAAAGAATGTGGGAAAATAGCGGCGAAAAAAATCCTTTCCAGAAAATTTAATTAGCTTTCTCCTAAAATGTGATCAAATCTTCCTTGTTTTAGACAGCTTGCAGAATATCGCAAAAAACAAACAATTAGGTGGGGAGTGAACCCGTCACCGTTTGGATCATAATCCGGAGTCTTACCGACTGAGCCAAAGCGTCATCACATTCGGCTCGATGAAAACTTGAGTTTACCGAAGTTTCGTCAGAATGAAAAGGGGAAAAATCTGTCGTGCGTCAAAGAATATTGAATTCGGAGAAGGATAACGAAGAAAAAAGTGAACGGAGTCCTTCAATTCGGATTTAAGTTTTTTTTTTCTTCTTCGTTGATTTTTCATTCCTCTTGACAAACATGCCTCGAGGCAATTTATCGTCAATTTGCCGCTTCAGCCAAAGCCTGTGTGGGAAATGAAAGTTGAAGAAAAAAAAAAGATTCTTTGCATTTGTAACTCGAGGAAGAGCTTAGAGCTTCCTAACAACCGTCATTAGAAGAACACTTTTTTCTGTTTTTAGTTGGATTTTTGATCCGTTCCCTTCAGGAATCATTCACTTCCTTCTAAAAGGTTCGATTCTGGTTCTAGGAAGAGAAATAATGTGGGAAAATAAGTGAAAGGCTTCGGAAAGTAGAGGAAATTGTTGTGGGAGCCTTTTTTCTTCCCATTATAAAGATGAGTAAGCCAGCTTTTAATTAATCGCATGGATGAGCTAAGTTGGAAAAATGGAAGGAAAAACTAAAATTCAGAGCTCAACAAAGTTCACATAGAAAACCGTTTTTTTTAAATTTTGATGGAAGGGATTGGGGGTTTTTTTAAGTTAAAAAAAAATAGATCTAATTTTTCTTCCATATGCAATATGTTAATGAACCAGAAAAAAAGTTCAAAGGGATCCTCAAAGGATTAAAAAAATCAATCTTCAGTCTTTAAATTAGCAATATGAAACAGAAATTTCATTTTATCTTCAAACTTAAAACAATTCAAGCAATTTTTTTCGCTTTTTATCTTTTTGATTTTTTTCATAGAGTTTTTTTGAGAGCCCACGTTTAAAAATCAGGAGACATAAAATTTCCTATGAGCTTCAAAACAGGTCCAGAACTTTGATATCCCTAATAAATGATATAAAAAACTCACAAAACCACGCATCCCACGCTTTCCGAGTACTAAACTCGAGTTCAAAAGACAAATGTGATGATTGCCAGGGAAAAAAAAGAGCATTTTTGGCGAGTCAAATTTGCCCCGCGGGGACGTTCCGCGGCATTTCGAACTTTCTTTTTATTCCGCGCCCCGGGCCATTATCAAATCTACTTCTTGATGCGCTTTTCTCAGACATTCTTTGAATCAAAAATTTTTCTCGTCCTCTTGGCATTTGAGGCTGTGACTTTTTGGGTGTGAAAAAAAAAGAATGTGAGAAGGTTTATTTCAATAAGTTCCGTCTCGGAAGTCGTTTCCGTGTGAAGATAAAAGACGGGAAAAAATAAGAGGAAGTGAAAAAAAGACGATTGGAAATGGCACAGGGTAGTTTCCGTTATTTTTTTGAAGATTTTTCAATAATTTACAGAGTTTTCAAGGCATTTATCATTTTTCCAATCTCTGAGTACTGTAGTAGCTCAAAAAAATCTAAAAGACCTGAATCCACTCAAAAACAAAAAAAGTAGAAAAAAATTGAAAAAAATTCGAAGGAAAGAGCTGTTTTTGTGATTTTTTTAGATCCTGGAATACTTCAACGGTTTTCAGCCGCACATCAAGAATTTTTAAAAAAACTGAAATTTCGAAAATTAGTAAGTAAGTAGTCATGATCCATGTGAAAAATTGACAAAACGGCCTCCTGAATTCTCGGCGTCTCAAGCTTGTGCGCTCCAAGGCGAACCCATATCTCCTTTTTGAAATCAAAGAAACTAAAGTCAAAATTCTTAGCAATCCCCGATATAAAAGCCGTGAAAAAAAGGAATTTTGATAATGAACAATCACTTAATAAAACGTTTCATTTTTTTAGAAAAACCCCGTGAAAAAAAGAAGCTCGAAGAAGGCGTGGCTTCTGAAGTTCCGCCTCTTTTTAGCGACGTTCTTTGGATATATTCAAACCAATATTAGGAAATACAGCTATTTATTTGATGAAAAACTCGAGAAAACAAATTTAGAGTAAAAAAAGCTTGATCAATAGAAAATACTACACATTGAAGCTTGGAAGGAAAAAAAAACTAATATTTTTGCTTGAAAGTTTCCTCAGTAACTTCAGAGTGGCCCTTATAGGGGGAGCTTTAGAGGTTCTTTAAGGTATCCCTTTAGGGAGCACTCAAGCGTTTCTAAGTGATATGATTCTTCATCTACAAGCCGTTTGAAAAAAATCATTTTGAAATAGTTCAAAGATAATTTTCCCACCATGCTTTCTGTTAAAAGTTCACAGCCCATAAATAATAAAAATACAGGTTTCATGCACCTTTTCCTGCAAAAACCAAAAAAAAAATCACGTCATTTGGGCGAAGGCCAAAAAGTATACGAAACGGAATTCATCCGGACGGCGTTTCTAATCAAGGAAATGGCAGGCGAAAATCTGGTGAATGACCTGGAGTTAATCAAATTTGGCCCAATTTTGAGTCGGGTAGGTTTGTAGACAAGTTGTAACTCCTTCTGAACTTTTGTGGAATAAAAAAATGAAGAAAAAAATGTTTTGTAGAAATGTGTTACAACAAGGAGAAAGGGAAAAAGAGCAAATTTTTTTGAGAACATCATTCGAATAAACAAAAAAAGAGCAAGACTTCTTCAAAAAGTGCACAATTATCTTTCTCAAGAAGTTTTAGAAGTTTTTTCAACAAACTTTTTCAACTTAATTAAAAATTTACTAGGGAAGTATATTTATAATAAAAATCGGTATTTGACTTTACTGGAAAAAATTTTTAGTGGCCACTACAGAGGTCTAAATTCTACTACTAGACCACTAAAAATTTTAGTGGCTACTTTAGGGCTCAATAGATCAACATAACCGGTCCAACCTGTTTGTTTTGAAGTTATCACAGTTACTGGAAAGAATACTGGATGAAAAACTACTGAAGTGGCCACTGAATAGAGAACCTCTATAGTGACCACTAAACGAAAAATAGTGGCCACTTTAGTGTCCTCTCTAAGTAGACCTTGGCGAGCCTCTAAAGTGGCCACTAGAAATTTTCCCAGTAGCTCAAAAAATTTTCAACGATGATAATTCTTGTTCATTTTCTGACAAGTCGAACTTGCATGTCTTGAAAGAGCAACGCGTCGCGGTCGCGAAGCGGCTTTAAGTTCATAATCCCTCTTTCAGCGCGCACGACATGAAACGGCTTCCGTGCTTTGGCTTCCTAGAGCACGAAAAAGCCGCTCGAGGTCAGGCGCAGCTATGATATGAGTAAAAATATTTTTTTCAAAGTAAAATAAGTTTTTTCAAAGATGAGTAGGCAGGCAAAATTTCGAAGACATTCAATGAAGAACATTTTGAAAAAAGAGCAGAAAACTTCTAAAATTCAATTGAAACAGGATTTTCAGTTTTGAGTGAAATCGACTGTTTGGAGAATTTTTAACAATTGATAAATTTATTTCATCCTTTTTCACAACCTATTCCATTTGAACGCTCAATGAATTTCAAAATAAATATTTTACGTCATCTCATCTTTTTCCACTTGCTCATTACGCTTAATTATTCTACTGCTTTTGCTTCTTCTTTTTTTTCATCCGAAAGTTTAGCGACCAAAGTTTTTAATTGAACGGAGATGAGTTTCTATGGGTTGGTGTTTTGAAGAAAATTCTTTCGCGAAACAAAAAATCGAGAAATGAGGGAAATTCATGTTATTACGCTCATATTTTCCCACAGAAATGTTCTTTTTTCCTTAGTTTTTTTGTGGAAAACCATAAAACACGAAAAAATGATCCAAGTTAAATCATCCCAAAAATGGAGTTTTGGCGAAGAAATGAGCATTTTCGAGTCGTCAGAGAAAGGATAAACATTGGAAACTTTGCTGACGAAAGCCTTCAAATGTTCAGACTACAACAAGGGAATCTGCGTCAGAGCATCATAAAAAGGGCCTGGAAAAGGCTATTTCGGAATTTTGTAGGGAGGATTTCTTGAGCTCGGAGAACTTTGGAGTTTAGATTGAGGCCATTGAAGTTTCGCGAACTTAATGTTTCAAAGCCGACTCAAAATGCGGTTCGAATAATTGTTTGAATTTATCGTACGTCGTTAGTTCCTGTCAGGATACTTTTTGATACCACTGAGCGTAAGCCGTTTTTGGTCGGGTACAATATAAAAACCCTTTTAATTTTCTTTAAATTTGGCCAGACTGCTCCTAGATGTGCCAGATGAAAATTCTGAAAGGTTCAGTCTGCAAAACTTCCTATTTTTCAAAAAATACAAGCTCAAAGCTCAAAAATAGCCTATTTCAACGGATTTTGAGGATTTTTTTTAGATTTTAAAGTGTTCTTTCTCAAAAAAACTAAGAAGTTTTGTAGGTGGAGACTTTCAGAATCTTCATCTTGAACATAAAAGAGTGTCCATTTTTCAGGAGATTCCCAGCCGCTAAGTGAAATGACCTTGTCTATAACGTAAAGCCAATAAAGTTGAGCTCAAAAAAGCCAAAAATCCAAGGGAAATATCACGAAAATGAATTATCGAAATTCTTCGGACGTAGGAAAAAGAATGAATAAAAGAAGATTGAAAGCTAATTTGAAAACTAATCCGAAAATGTAGTTTCGAAAACGAACTTATCAGTTTCACACGTCGACCTCATCTCACAAATATCAATAAATCATCAAAATGAAGCAAAGTACGGAAAAGCGCGCCAATTTGAATTATTTAAAAGAGTTCTCCGATCTCCCAACGAGACAAACCTACATGTTTTTCTTCAAAATGAGAAGTTTGATATTTATCGAAGATTTTTTCGGTTTTCTTCATTATTCGGAACGGAAAAGACTTCATATTTCCAAGGGTGAAAAACCCTCGGGTGTCGTAAAAGACGAGAAAAAGGCGACGTTATTAGGAACAAGGAGAAAACCTTCGCGTCATACAAATTGTAACGAAATTAGCTGTACGAAAAAGTGTTCGGGTTGGAAAAAAGGGCTCCTAAATAGGATAAGGAAAACATATTTATACTCTTCATGGTTTATTTTTTATTATTAAGATCAAAGATGGAACGTAAACCGGCTCTACCAGAGCTGACAAGCCGTAAATCTCAGGACCAAACGTTCGGATTAGTTTAAAGGTTAGTTTAAAACGTCTGGGATGAAGCGTGAAAACAAACGGATGATTTGTGACGAAAACTGATGTGTTTTTCGGCATTTTTGTCGTCAAAAAAAACTTGTGACTTCTTGGAGATTGAAAACTTTTTCGAAATGATTGGGATGGGTTTAAAAGCTTTGCAGAGTTGGAAAAGGGACATTTTTAAGCGGAAAAATCGTTTTTTTTTAATTGAATAAGTAAAAGAAAATTTTCTTAACAGAAGGAGATTTTTAAAGTGAATTGGAAAAAGTTCTTGAACCAATAGCGAAAGAACTTCAAGAACATAAGATTTATGATATCGATAGTAAAAAATTAATATATTCTTCCTTTTTTTTCGAAATAAGAACTCGTGGTCGCACTTGGAATGGTTCAATGCGTAGCGGTCGCGCTGCGGGTCGGGCACGTCTCGAGAAAGCCGCTCTGCTTTCGAGCCATTCCAAATGCGACCTCTGGCTTATTTCTTCTTTTTTGCCTCCTTTTTTTTAAACTTTTAAGCCGTGCTCGCATTTGGAATGGCTCAATGCGTCTCGGTCGCGCAGCGGTTGTCTGGTACGTCTCAATGTAGCCGCTTTGCTTTAGAGTTGTTTTAAATGCGACTAACTCATTTTTCTCAAATTAAAAAGTCTTGGTCGCATTTGGAATGGCTCGAAAGTGAAAGGCTATTTCAAGACGTACCCTACAATCGCAGCACAACCGCGGTGCATCGAGCCATTTCAAATGCGACCCTTTACTTCCAAGTTTTTCCAGAAATTCAAGAATGCTCATCTCACCATGAAGCTTCACAACGCACCCAAAAACGTTACCATTGAAAAAACGTCTTTTTCAAGTTTCTCGCTTTTTTTTCTGAACCGAAAGGCTTCTTCTGAACATATTCTCGCAGGCGACTATCAAATGAACAAAACCAGAACAGAAAACAAAAGTGAATGAGATGAAGGCTTAACAGAACTGCGTCGAAGAGGCAAATATTCAAGTGGCGTCGACAGAATGATGGGCTTCCCCCGACCAAACTCAATTTCCCGCCTCTTTTCGGCGCCTGTCTGTTCTGATTTTTCAGCGACCTTTTTTCTTGTGTTTTTCTGTTTTTCTTAGTGATGTTTGTCACAAGAAAAGTCATAGAAGACGGTGGTCAAGTGAGTTTTGGCTGAGAAATGGTCGACAAGTGCGCTCCATGGAGAAGTTTTCTTTTTTTTGTAAAAATTTGAAACCCATTAAAAATGTCTAGACCTTCCAGTTCAATAGTTTTGATTAATTTTGAGATGAAGAGGGTTTTTTTTTTCCATTTTGAAACTTATAAGAAGATATGAAGGATATTTTATCGTGCTGAAAAGCAGTTTTGTTCGAAAAATCAATGTAATTGAACTTTTAAAAGAACAAAAAAGTTGGAAATTTACCGCCTGATCATTTTTCGAATTAAGAAAAAATAAGTCTGTTAATTTTTTTGAGGACTGTTTCGATACTTCAAGTCAAAAGTTTAAAGTTCGTGAAGTCTTTGTTCTTTTTATCATTTAGCTCATCTATAGGCGTAGTCGGAAAGGGTGGAAAAAGGCTCTATAGAAATATTCCTTTTAGGGTTATAAAGGTTCCTTCTTTTCTGCCTTTTTGCACCTTTTCATAGGCTTTTATGCCCCATTTTTGCTGCCTCTTCCTTTTTTTTCATTTCTTGGGCCGTTAAAATCCCAGAAAAAATGGGAGACTCGATAAAGGGACTCTTTTTGCAGCCTTGTTCGAGCCTTTTCCTTTCAGCGGCCATTATCCACCATTCCGACTTTGCCCAGGTCAAAAGAAAAATTTTTAAAAAAATCTTTCATAAATAGTTCAGGAAACTTCAAATAACTTTTAAAAACTTGAGAAAGTTCCCGTAAAGCGATGAAAACAGAGAAAGACACCAAAATGTTCTCCGGATGGGATCGCATTTCAGAATAAAACAATGAACACATGTTCTAGTCTCAGAAATCAAGCCCTTTTAAAAGCCCGAAAAGGTCAAAGATCGATTTTTTTCTGAAATATGTATCATGACAGGTCCGGCTCACACTCTAGAGCTCTCCGAGAGTTCATAAGGATTAAGCAATTTGAAACAAAAGTGGCATATCAACGTGAAACGCATGATACGTGTAATGTGATATTTCAAAGCCCTTGTTGGAGCCTCAATTTGGTCGATTTCCGGCTTTTTCCAAGGTTCTTATTTGGAAAAAAAGGCAAAACATAATTCAAAAAAGGAAAAAGAAAAAAAATTAATTGAGAAATAATTTACGAAGCGAACGGTTTAAAATAGAGGGTTTTGACCTTTTTAAGTCGAAATTTGAATTTTACGATGAAAATCGTTTAATTTAATTTTTAACTTTTTCGAATTGTTTTTCCGATAAAGTTCTTATTTTTGCGACTTCAAATTTGAGTTTTGAAAATTTATTTTATTTTTGCATTTCCATCTTTAACCAAAAGCGTAAGTTTTTATAATGATCCCAAAACGCTTTCTTTCATATGAGAGAGATGATTTATTAAGAAAAGTTTTTCCCCTTTTCTAGAACCCATATTCTGTACCCGAAAACGATATAAAAATTATAGAATTTTCAAATTTTTCAAAATTTTCTTTCTACGAAAAATGGCCTTGATAAAAATAAAATTTCCGATACAAGGTATTTATAGATCTCGTTTGAAGAAACTCAAAGATCTTTTCAATTAAACTTCAAGACGTTCATTTTCCCAATCCAAGTAAAAAAACAACAGCGCAAGAAAAAGTGCTTTCCAATTTTGGGCCACAAAAAGCTTCATTAACGCTGTTTTCCCGAGGAACACAGCCCAATTTTGGCTTTCTCCGGAGGTAAATCATCAATTAATTATTGAGACGAGAGAAGAAAAAGGGCAAGACGCGTTGAAAGAAAAATAAAATTGAGAATAAAAAAGGCCACTTCAGAAGGTAAGGTTGCCAGGGCGGCCAGGTCGTTTCCTTTTTCGTTTTAATTTGCATTTCCGCTATTTTTAGAATCCGTCGAAATCAAGTGAAAACACGTCATAAACTAAAAATAAATGGAAAAACGGTGGAAAATAAAATGAGAGGAGAGATTCGAAATTCGAGCCATTTTTGGGGCGGCCGTCCAGCTGTTATTCCCGTATCCAAGATTCTTCTCCTTTTTTCTCACGTCTCATGAATCTATCATCCTTCTAATGGCGCTATATCTCTGGAAAATTTCGGTTTTTCTCTGGGATTTCTGTGATAAAATTCAATAATTATTTAATAATAAAAATCATCCTTCGAGGATTCAACGAGTCTGACTTGTCTGCACCCTCTTTTCCCTCCTCTTTTTTTGAGCTCCAAATTTTTGAAAACCTGCGAAAAGTCATAATACACAGGTATACGTGCCTCAGACGCCAAAAGCCCATTTTAGAACGGAAAAAGAGGAAATAGGTAATTTGCATTTTTTCCAAAGTTCTTCCTGCCCTACCCATTATGACGAGTCCGCAGGGAAGTGATGCTCAGAGGAAAATTGAAGTAAAGTCAAGAGGACGTTCTTTTTTGGGAAGTTTTTAGGAGGAACTTTGACCGCTTCTATGAGTATTTTTCCACTTTAAGTGAACAATTTATTATTCTCGATCAAAAGTTTGGCTGGTCCATCGACTTGCCACAGTGAGACAATCTTTTGCTTCTGAGGACACTCGAGGCGACGTCGTTCAACATGCTCGTCACTGGGAGACTTTGTCTTCGGAGGAAAACCTGAAACTGAAAAGTTTTGAAGTTTTATTTAGGATTCGAAACATCTGGTCGGTGAGCCGGCGGAGAGCAGATCGACTCCGGAGGGGTGATATCACGATCTTCGACTTCTGAAAGAAATAATAATAGAATTTTTTCGAAGTCTCTGTTTGTTGATATAATGATGTGGTCCTTGTAGAACCTTGGAAGCCCTTGAATGCTTCCCTCTAGGGACCACTACCGCTTGCAAAATGGCCGCCATAGGGCTTTTAATTAGTGGCCCATACAGCGGACATTCCATTCATTTATTGATTTGATTCTATGAGAAGAAGCATTTACACACGAAAAAATCAATGAATTAGCGCTATTCGAATGAAAAATATCAACAGAGGAGTAATCGATCAAGTTTGACTTTCTAGTTTTCTGAACAGAAAGTAAAGGCCCTATAGGGACCACTTCATCTTTAAAAACTTAGGGGTCAGACCCTGAACCCCTACAGGGACCACTTTGGCGTTTCTAAGTATTAAATCCGCCGGTCGCACGTGAAATGTCTCAGCACATAACAGCGTCTATGTCAATTATCAAAGGATCACCCGACCCAAAACGACTTTCGCATTCCTCATTCGAAACTGCTTGATCAGGCTTCGAACCACACCGATTTGGATCATTCAACCATGATTATTCAGTTCAGAACAACAGAAGATTAGCTTAAGCTGTGTTGAAACCTCCTACTTACCCTAAAACTTATCAACCTTTTTTTACCTGGTTCAAGTTCTTTCAGAGCCGGGGCAGGATCGAAGTTGATCCGGGAAAGGATTGAAGGTCTTGGCCGCATTCTGGCGGCTGAGTCCGACAGCTTTCTTATCGGTTTCTCTTCCAGGGGTACAGCTTCTTCTTCTTCTACACGTTCTAGGACTGCTTCAGGTTCTTCTGGAGGTTCGGTCGGTTTGTTTGAAGTGCTTGGGATCGCCTCTCTGTGAAGTACAAGAATTTATGAGTCATTTTTGAGAATTTCAACCGTAGATAGCGCACAAAAGTATTGCGTGAAGCGTTGCTTTTCCTTGCGTACAGTGGAAAACGGCCAAAAACCGCTCCAGCCGAGAACAACGACAGAATCAAGAAGAAAACTTGAAAGAAATAAAAAAAGTTAACCTATGAAATCACCTATAAAAGATCCATTCAGAACAAAAAAGCCAATGAGCATCAGTTCACTAGAAGACAAAGCTTCTCTTCCATAACTGTAGGAGGACAAAGGCCGACGAGTCTGTAAAATCTAATTTTCTATGGAAAAATTAGAATTTTTCCATTTACTAATTTGTCATCGCAACGGGATTCGTCCTCCCCACACGTGTCGAGTCCGTCACACTCCAAAGTTTTCAAAAAGCAGAAGTTTGAACAATCTTAAAAATAATTTTTACGAATTACGGTAGGCTTTACTTGTGCATTGGGGTATTTGCGGACAACGCATCGTATCTGACGTGCAAGTTATCGGCTTTGAAAACATCAGCAAAGAACGGAAGTTCAAGTTCATTGGAATCAAAATTGTTATCGGCGTCTTCATCAACTGATAAGCCTGAAAGAAATCGACTACTTTTTAAATTAATGAAGTTTCAACGTACCTTCGGCTCGCTATCAACGATGAAAACTGATTCCGAGTTTTTAATAATTATCTCTTTTGTGTTTTTTGGCTTCCGATGCGAGAAAAACAGGGAGCTTGTAATGGAAACTGAAATAAAAACATAATTCATCCTCTTTTATTCTCAGAAATAGACCGAGAAGCTCTTCCCCATCTTCTGACTCAATACGAAGTGGACAAATCGTCGTATCATCCGATTGTCCTGACTGATAATCTTCCGTTGAGACTAAACTCCAATCCGATACCACTATTCTGAATTTTAACAATGAGAAAATGATTGGCTCATGAAACGAACCTTTTATTAGCCGAACAGTACACGCAACTCACTGGAAAACTACAGAAAAAGGAAAAAATCACAAAAAGTCGGAGATTTCTGCGATTCATAAGTTTTGATGAAATCGACACGGGAAGATTCTTGGGGATATGAGATTTCAAGAGTTTTTTCAAGTATTCTTGTCTTTCCAAGCAGTTTTTTCGGGGTCAATAGCCCTCCTTTTTCAGAATAATATGGGAAAAACCTTGACTTTTTATTCTCAAAAATATTGCGTGAAAATCCATGGCATTGCTAAATTCTTCCCGAAATGGAGGACACGGTTCTAGAGGAGTGAGACGGTTTCACGATTATTATCAAATTCTCGAGTTTTACAGAAATTCAGATGAAGAGAAATCAATTCGACATGATCCATGTGTCGGTACTCTCAAGGTTTTCCAGCTTTTTTTCAAAATAATCCCTAATTTTTATTATAGTTCTGGAATCGCTTGATGGTACCGGTTTCTCTTCTTTTTTGCTTCATAACCATCATTCTCGGCATTTCAGATTTGTATTTTTCAAAATAGATTGCGAAAAAAATTTGAAAAATTTTAGGGTTAAACAATTCGATAACGCCTTTTCTTATGTGAGTTTTCATTTTTTGATAAACCTAAAATCTGGACGATTTTCTAGTGGCCTTTGTAGGGTTTTGACGTTTTAGAGGTCATCCTAGAAGTGGAATTAGTGGCCGCTTAAGTAGCTAAAATTTAGGCGCTTTTTAGAGGTCTACGTGGTACTAATGTTTCACTGAAACTACTATATCGGCCACTGATACACGAAACAGTGGCTCCTATGTAGGTGGTTTTAGTGGCCACTGTAGTGTTCTCTCCGAGTAGTCCTTTAGGAACTTCTTAAGAGGCCACTAGGGTTCTCGGAAAATGGTAGCGAAGACCGGACCTTTCTAAGCAGTTCTAGAGAGCACTTAAAAGTGCGGACACCACTAAAGTGGTCACTAGAAATGCCCCGACACGTTCGAAAACTGAACTCATCGGTGTGTGAGGATTTCTATCATGAAAAATCGAGGTATCCTCAACTTTTTTCAGTTATTCGTATACATCCTCAGTGTCATTTCGTTGTTCAAGAATTCCGCCGTTTCGCACTTATGTTGTATGATCGCGAGGGTAATTTTGAAAAAAAAACTTCTTGAAAACGAAAATCCAGGGGAACTGCGTTATCAATACAATCATGTCTGTGGCGGTGGTTTGTATAGAGCTGTCTTTTGGTTTTTTCTTTCTCCTTTTCACTTGAATATTTTTCATTTTCCAGGCGTTACCAAGTTTCCCTTTATAACGTTACTAATTTTGTTCCTTTTCTTGGTGTTTGACGTCTGGTTCACGTTCATTTCTTACAAATTACTCCGTGCTGCTCCAGGAAAAAGTTGAAGAATAACCTTTATTTTTTGTACAAATAAATTTGAATATTCGAAAGTTTTTTTTTATTATGAAGGCACAGTCGGGCGATGAGCTTCGAGCTCGGCCTTGAGATTCTGGGCGAAGGTCTTCCAGGCGGCCTATAAATGGAAATATTGTCTTATTTGATATATTCCTTGGTTTTCAGATAATTTAAATCTTTCTCGAGCTTGAAAACTATCGAAAAACTGCACCTGGTCAGCTGCGGGAGCCGTCTTGATGTAGGTGTCAACGTCGAGTCTCATCTTCTCGAAAGCCGCCTTGGCGACCTCCGGATTCGACTTGACTTCTGCGAAATCTTCCTGAAAACTTTCAACTTCTCATAAAATTGTCAAATTCAAAAAGTAACCTTGTAGTTGTCTGCTATCTTCTGAATCCCATCAATTGTTGCCTGCGAAATTCCGGCCGCCTGCATTTCTCTGTGGATTCTTTCTGAAATTTCCGTTTATCAAATTTTTCGATTTGAAAGAACCTTGAAATCCGCCCTCAATAGGGAAGGCTGCGACTAAAACTGCCAGAAGAGTAGAAATAACGAAGATTGAAGTTGAAGTCATTTTTGAAGTGCTAAAAGTATCGAAAACGATACCTCGACCTCACATTTGCTCGCTTAAATATGCATCGCCATAACTGGTTGGATTTGAAAATCGCGAGTCAGAAACAGATCGTTGATCGGTTATTTACCTGCAACCTCTACTTTTCACAGATATATTCGCGTGAAAGTTCCTTTTTCCATTTTTCATTGGTCAGAGAGCAGATAAACGTTGTGTATCCGTTACTGTTTTTCTGTTTTTTATTTTCCGAAAAATTTTACAGAGCAAAGTAACAAAGATTTTTCACAACTCTATTGGTAGAAAAGTACCGTTAATAAAAAATGAATAAATCAAAACTTTTCGAACCAAGATTGAAAATCTTCACGTCAATCGACGCGCTCTGACGTTTCTCCTGTGTTAATGGCGCAATCGAAGTGCACCGAAATGGGCCGTGCATTTTATTTTTATCTTTTTTCAATCAACCAATTTGCCTTATCTCTTTTCAATTGGTTGATTTACGTTAGTTTTTTATTGAAACCACTTTTATGAATTATTCGGCGCGTAAAGATTTGTCTCGCTGTATCCTCATCGCTAATTAATCCTGAGAAATGTTAATTTTTAGGAAAGGATGTCGCTCAGTCGGTTCTTGTGTCCTTCAAATATTCGGGCAGTTGTTCCTGTTCGTTTGGCGCACGCTTCAAGTAATTAATAAAATTCTCGTGCAATTTTTGAATGCATTTAATGATTCAAGGTCATCGGGAAAAAGTTCCTATTTTCAGACAGTTCTCGATGAATTATATTTTAATTCATTTTAAAAGTTTCTAGAAACTTTAGAGCAAATTTTAGGAAAGTTATTTGTTAGTGTCTCGCGATACGAAGAATTTGCTAAAATAGCTTTTGAAAAGTTAAAAATTCGAAGAAGTTGCGTTATCTCATTTTACCAATTGAGATGTTCCCTCCGCCGTTTCTACAGATGACCAGCCCAACTATTTCCAGAAAATCGCCTACAGGTTCAAAGGTAGTTTTTATAGAAACAAACTTCATAATAGCATTTTAAATTTAGGGATCCCACTGAAAGGCGAAACTGAGGCTCCAAAAAGTATGTTCGACGCCGTCGGAAAGGAATGGTCGGCGCCTGAGCCGCTCCCTGCGATTCCCAAAGATTTCAAGGAACATCCGGATCGTGACTTGGTTTTCATATTGAATCAATTTGAACGAAATTTTCGAATTTCAGACGAATTATCCGTACCCGGCGCGTCCGATGTACCCACCAAAGACTCGGCTTCTGATGATGCCCGATTCGTGGTTCACGGCCTTCCAGAAGGTCACTGGAGTTTCTGGTGAAAAAAATCTCCCATAAGTAAAAAAATATTGATATTTCAGGCCCCTATCTTTTCTTCGGCGGTCTGTTCGCGTTCCTGGTCAACAAGGAACTTTGGGTCTACGAGGAACAGGGTCACATGACCGTGGGATGGATCCTTTTCTACTTGCTTGTTTCCAGAAGCGCTGGATGTATTTAATATGACAAAAAAAAAAAGATGGATTTTTTTAGACAAAGTTGACAGTTGGCTGTACGGTGAGTATCAGAACCGCATGAACTACTTCAAGGGACTTATCGCCGAAGATTTGAAAGATGCCGTCGAGTTCCGAAAGGTTTCGATTGATTAGAAGACGAAAATAAATCCAATGGTTTTAAAGTAGATCTAGCTTTCTGTAGAAAATATTTCTATCGCTTGTTGCTTGACACTTAAAATTCGATTTGTAGGTCTATCGGTCTAGTTTTCAGCTGATTTCGAATGAAAATAATGCACAGACTAGGTGAAATCCCATTTCTAACTTTATAAATCTTTATCTTCTTCAGAAACTCGAGAATTTGGTCATTATTTTCTACACCTTTGTTTATATAATTCATTAACCAAAAAGACCACTCGAATCGAAAAATTTGCGAGCAGCTGAAAAGTTGGAATATTTGATTGAAAAATAAAATTCAGATGTCAGAGCTATTTTCAGTTGAAGTTTAAAATTTTTAATCTTGTTATATACGTTCTTTCTTGGACTTAAGGAGAGTTATTGCGAGTTTTAAAAGTTTTAGGTTTTTTCTCGAGTTTATCTGAAAATGCATGACTTGAACACTTGAAATTTTTGATAGTTCAGAGGTTTCCAATAAAAAAAAGTGCATTAACTTCAGGTAATGTGCACTAAATTCTATTTCAAAGTTATATTTCTAATAATTCAAATCAAAATAATTTCTTTAAATTTGAATTAATTCACGCATGAAACAAAGAACTTTATTTAATTTTGTATTGAACCAAAAGTTTCCAATTTCTAGACCTCCGCCGAAAAGACGGAATCTCTGAAAGCGGTCCGTGAGTCCATTCCGACGGCCCTCAAGGAAAGCATGCAGCTGCAGTTGGAGGCCAGCTATAGGTTGCTCACTGAATATTAATTCCTAATAAAACTCGAACGAACTCAGGAAAAACATTGAGAACATCTCGACGGAATTGAAGCGACGGCTGGACTACTTGAAGGAAACTGAAGCGGCCAAGGCACGTTTCGAAAAGGAACAACTGATGAAACTCATCTCCTCTGCGGTTAAATGTCCTTTTCTTCCCATTTTCAACCCTGTTTCCAGGTCGACAAGGAAATCCACCAGGCTTCCTTCAAAGAAAAGTACCTGGCCAACGCGATCCAACAGCTCCAAGGCCTCAACGTCAAGGCCTGAAGATTTACGCCGCACGTAATTTTTGTCTTCCTACAGTTGAATTGTTTGCTCCGCACTTCGTTGGTATTCTTTATCGGGTTCGATTTAATGAACGATGTTCAATGGTTAAATTTTCTCTGAGTAATCAAATGAGACGTTTATTCCGAAATGAAATATAAGGCTAGAACTTGTTAAATGGCGGGATTTTCTGACGATATGCGGCGAAAGAAGCCACGGCAATGACTCCGACGACCGTAGAGGTGCAGATGATCTTGTTGAACCGAGAAACTATCTTAAAAATCCTTTTTTCCGGCAGTTATGGAATTTATTTAGTCATCCAGTGTGTTTCGGGGTGATTTTAACGAATTCTAGGATTTCTAGAAAAAGTTCAACTTGAATTTAATTTTTTCGAGAAGAAAAAAACTAAACTTTAAACGAATACTTTTTTTGGCTCCAAAGAAAACTGCAAGAATTGGTTTTTTGAATTTGATACAGAACTTTTTCCGAATCGTTAAAGTTAACTTAGTATCCAATAAGCTTGCCACAAACTTAAAGAATGATGAAAATGTGAATAATTTTAGTTTTACTATCTTCGGTTTTCAATAAAATCCAAAATTTTAAAATGTTCGTTAAAATTTCCCAATCGAGTTCGTTTTTTTCTCTTCGAAACTTTTGCGGAAATTTCTGATGAGTTTTATAATATTCAGTTAGTTCCAGTCTGTATTCAGAACCTCTCCAACATTGGTAACGAAAAACTGACGTTTCTGAGCATATCTAGGGATCACTTAAGGGTGCTGACGCTACTAAAGTGGTCACTAGAAATACCTCAACATGTCCGTTTCGCGTTACCAATGATTGAGCGGATTATCTTGTTCAATATCTTTCAAACATAACCTACCTTATCCTGCCATCGACGATTCTCCACGACCTTTGAATAGGGTATCCGACTAAATGTGACCATTGAGTAGAGCGGAATCCAAGTTTCGGGCATTATTCTGTTCAGCCACATGTCGAATTTCTTACGAAGTTTGTAAGAAGTGTGGTTTACCAAGTCGCGAAGCTAATTTTTTGAATTAGTCGGCTTTTATTTCATTTTTCGATACCTCCTCATAGTTATACATTGCTAGGTCGTTTATCGTGTGAGCGTCTTTGACTCTGACCCGGGAATATTCTTTTAAGGAGCGGGCTGAAATAGAAATTAAAGAGGTGGACGTGGAAGTTTTGAGCTTACGAATGTCCATTGGGTATTGGTTTAGAATGTCGCTGTAAACCAGGCAGTCCTCGAAGCCCTGAGTTAAGGGAAATTTATTTTCTTAGAACTGTAGTTTTAGCGTAATTGATCTTTGCTTTGAACCACATAGAATTTGGGCAGTTCTAGTGAAATTTCATGGCAGTTTTTCAAAAATGAATAAAATTTCTCACACAGTTCATTCCTTGACCGTAGAATGGGACCATTGCATGAGCGGCATCGCCCATGAGTAAAATATTGTCTCCAAAATGATGTGGGGCACATTTTAAGGAAATCAACGGTTGTGGTTTCACTCTTGAGAACGTGTCCGCGATGTGATCTCTGAAGATAGGATCATAATGAAAATTGAACTTTTTTTCGGTTGTTTTTTTGAGGCGAACTTTGCAGATCTAGTCCAAACTTATAGACGATATCATTTATAGTTAGCGGAAATATCAGTTCGAAAAATGAGTTGGAAATGCTCAAAAATTGTTGAAGAAGAAAGACATCTTCCGAGCATTTCTTGTACATTTTCGGTCTTGGTAGCCTATAACGTTAAGCAAAGGGCTTTTTTTCAGTACATACACCTGGGACTTCCTAACAGAACTTTGAACCAGGCCTGCGATATGAACCTGAGGAATTTTTCAGTCCGGAGGAGATTGGAGGTTTTAAAAGGCATTGAACTCATAATTTTCCCATCAAAAATCCAATCTTTCAAGTTCCAGAAGTTTTCAAACAAATGGACATACCTTCCAAGAAGCTCATAGGCGTCTGGAAAGTTCTCTCGGAAGAAGTTGAGAACATCAGTTGTGTTAGACATGTGCTTCTCGAATTCGGCGAATGGAGCGAAGATAGTAACTGAAAATTATATTTATGAGATCTTGATAGGCATTTTTTTAATGTAAACATAGTAGCTCTTCTTATTCATTTCTTCAAAATCAATGTTAAGTAATGATTTTGTTCGATGTTTTTAGAACTCACCTGTGAAAGTTTTGTCTTTATTAGCAAGAGCGATCAAGGTGAAGTGACCTCTTGGCCATAAATGGAAGACGTTCTCTTCTAGGGCGAACTGAAGATTTTGATTAAATCTTGCTCAGATCCGCCCTTTTATCACCTCATCACTTTTGGGCAGTATATTCAGCTCAACGTAGCCGTGCTCAATGTACTCTTGTGAGTAGTTGAACCTGAATTGTTTTTCCCCCAAAACTTGGAAGAATATTACCTCGGAAAAGTCATGAGACTTCTCCTGACAGCCGAATAGGCGCCATCGCAGGCGATTATCAGATCTCCTTGGATTGTCTGTTCTGTCGTGTCTTCGGTTCTGCAATTTGAAAAAAGATTCCTTTTCGCATAATGAAGAAAATGATTTTTATCTTGAGCCGGAAGACATTGATTGAAAAATCTTAGAAAATAAATATCATATATCATTATTGAAACATACAAGAACCATGCACACGACACCCTACAATTTACGGAGAAAAAGTGGGCGCCGTCGAAAAAACGTCTTTTCCAAGTTTTCCCATAGGTTTTAGATATTTCAAATAAAAACAAACCTTGGAGGGGACTGCCCAGGCCGGGGGATTCGACTCACTTTGGCTAGTCTGAAAATTTTCTTTGTATTAATCAGGGATTTTAAGCACTTCATGAAGGTTGAGAAAGTTTGACTTGATAAGGAAAAAACTTACGATTGAACGGTTATTGAGCCTTTATCGACGTCCACATTCTTCACTTTGTGCTCGAAGAAAAATCTAGAAAATAGTTGAAAACAAACTAGAGATAATATTCAAACTTTTTTTTTAAATGAATCATTGCAGATTTAATATTACCGGAAGAAACACTGCGTGAAGAAAATTTATATGTTCTTCAGCGATTTCAAAATTGACGCGTTATTCATTTAAAATAATTCCGGAAAGAAAGCAGAATTGGACTTCCGGGAGGGTCCTACAACGATATATCGCAATAAATGCGTTTTTACGGTAAATTTCACGCGCGAACTCCAAATTTTGAAATTATTCGAACATTTTCAAAGAAAATTTCAAACAGGTGCGTAAAACTCTTCCTAAAAGTTCATATATTACGGTATAGCGTTGTAGGACCCGTTTTTTCTAAATTTCTAATTTTACCTATTTCGCGAAATTATTTTGAACGACTAACCCGTCAATTCAAAAAAGCATGAACTTTTCAAGTTAATTTCTTCAAACTCACTTGACATTTGGACATTTTTCGGCTTGTGTGATCATAACCTCGTTCAAATGACGTCTATTGATGGAAACGATGTGCTGGAAATAATTTATTAAGCATTGATCAGAACAGAATAAGTGGAGTTAATGAATTTTCAACATTTTTGATGATAAATTGTCAAAACTGTTCATAAGTTCATAAGCTCCGGTGATGAAGTATACTCAGAATTTTTTTCGATTTTCAGGCCCAGCCAAATTTTTAAAGTAAACGAAAACATTTTTCCGTGAAAAAAACTAACTTCTCCCGGTCTTCCATAAGGCTGTCGGCTGTACGTTTTGCCGTCCTTGTTGTGCACCAGCCTGGCGTACATTGGAACCCCTAAATTCATCAATTTTCGATCAAAAGCTTCATTTTTGGCTCTCTTTTCATAAGATTCAAAAGAAAAAAAATTTTGCGAGATTTTCGAATAAATTTCCAATTTTTTTTCAAAAGAAGTTCACCTGAAATTCCTTTTGAATGTGAGCTTCAAAAATCGGTTTTTATTTCCGAAAATAATATTTTTCGATGAAAAACCGTTCCAAACCCTGGTTGACGATATATTCTCTCAGTCCGACGGCTTCCAGGGCGCTTTTGCCCCTCTGGGACAAGGCCAAATTGATGCTTCTGCCCTGGACGTGAGCCATCGTGCGGATGTCTGAAAGGTCGCAGCCGTTTAATCATTTCCGATGAAATATTGCTCTTCTTCTTATAAAAATCGAGGAATATTTCGTCTTTTCTAGCCTTTTTCTATTCCTCAGAGTTTGAAAATGAAGAAACACGCCGTTTCAAAAGAAAAAAACTGTTATAGTCTGTGAGACTGCGATTTGAAATTTCACCGAACGACATTCCGCTGTTCCGCCGGGCCCCTTTGCGAATCTCGGTCGCGCTTTCCATTTTTTTTTTTCTCATTTCAATACTCGCAGTGGAACAATCTATCAGCAATAAAAATAGTCTGGAAGGGTGACCCAGTTCCGCGAAGGCAAAGTCGCTTCGCGACTGTACGCAGTGGAACGTCGTTCGGTAAAATTTCAAGTCGTGGCACACAGACATCGGACTTTTTTCCAAAATTTAGACTTTTAGTAGTCAACCCGTGTGACAAGCTTCTCCGGATGGTTCTCAGAAAAAGTTCACAACTTCTTTTTTTTTCTCTGGAAAACGAATTTTGAACTTTACCTTTCCGGTACTCGTAGACCTGGACATTCCAGCCTCTTTGCGCGAAAAAACAGGCGTTGAGGGCTCCGACGAGTCCCGCGCCGGCGATGATCACTGTCGGCATCTGAGATTCAATAAAATCGTCAGTTCATTCATTTTGAACTGTTCAAAAGGATTCCATTAAAATCAAAATAGCCGCCAGCGAAAGAAAAAGATAACTAGATCTAGAGATACAGTAACCGTCAGAAAATATACGAAATTTTTGTTCACAACTTCCTTGTATGGATCTTTAAAAAAAACGTTTATTTAAACTCCAGAAGGTTGAGACAGACTTCCTAAAAAGCATATTGTGATCAAAATCGCTTTTTTTCAAAATTTTTTTGGGCGAAATTGAAACTTCGCGGAAATCAATCTGAACACGACATAATAATTATTTTTCTTTCTACATCAGAACCAAGCAAATCTAGTCATCTAAAAAATTCAAATTTTTTCTGAATTTCAACTTCACACCTTCCTCGTTGATTAGGAACATACAAATTTCAAGGCATGTTCTAAAACACGAGCGGTTGTGGGGCACGAGCGGCACGACCGTTACTAAATCACGAGCGGTTTCATTTTTCGCTCCTTCGCGAACGCTTCTAAATCACGAGCGTTTTTTTGGCTTATCGTTCTGTTCGAGCGTTTCTAAACCGCGAGCGTTTCATTTTAATCATTTTTCTTTATTACCATCCAAGTGTGTGTTTTTCATATTTCTACCTTCTTTTTTTCTCCTTGAATAAAAAAATTTTTGACGATCTTATATGCACATTTTTTTCCGCTCAATTTGTTGATTGATTCACATTTGAGGTTCATATAATGGATTTTTTTCTAAGTTTTTTTGCGGTCTCTATAATTTCACAGATTCTGCGTATGGCAAAATTTTTTTCTAATAATTTCATCTGATTTTTCATATTCAATATTTCACAGATTTTGCGTATGATAAACTAATATTTCACAGATGTCTCGCATGAAAGTCAATATTTCTCAGATTTTTGCTTATGACAAATTAAAAAAATATGAACTTTTTTTCTCTGATTCTCATCTGTGTTTTTCTTGCAAAAAAATCTAGCTAGTATAGTCATTTTTATAAGCGCTGTTTGGGCGGAATTATAATACGAAATTATAAAATTTAGTAACAGGCCGCTTGCTGCATTTTTCTGGAACAACGGGAGCTTGCTGCATTTTTCTGGTTATCGTCCGAAGCCCACTATGTCGTATATTGAATATGAAAAATCAGATGAAATTATTAGAAAAAAATTTGCCATACGCAGAATCTGTGAAATTATAGAGACCGCAAAAAAACTTAGAAAAAAATCCATTATATGAACCTCAAATGTGAATCAATCAACAAATTGAGCGGAAAAAAATGTGCATATAAGATCGTCAAAAATTTTTTTATTCAAGGAGAAAAAAAGAAGGTAGAAATATGAAAAACACACACTTGGATGGTAATAAAGAAAAATGATTAAAATGAAACGCTCGCGGTTTAGAAACGCTCGAACAGAACGATAAGCCAAAAAAACGCTCGTGATTTAGAAGCGTTCGCGAAGGAGCGAAAAATGAAACCGCTCGTGATTTAGTAACGGTCGTGCCGCTCGTGCCCCACAACCGCTCGTGTTTTTAGAACATGCCAAATTTCAAAAATTAACTATTATAACAAAAACAATTGTTTTTCTAGTATCAC